GTCTACTTATCAAGTTTATGAATGAGTTTTTTACTTTTAAGTAATTTGTAAACCTACTGAAATCAGTTTTGTTTTTTCAGGATCAAAATAAAATAAAAACCTTCAAAATTACACATTACAACAAGAAAACATGTTTAGATATGTAAAATGGACACATAACATTTCTAGGGCTCTGTATTCCAGGAGGGCAAGATCAAGTTATGACCTATACCTCACTTAGCTCCAAATTCAAGGATTTAATTTTTTTTTTTTTTATGTGCAGAAAAGGCAGAGTTGCTTACCATGTCTGATGACTTTTTATCTTTCTTTTTTGTGAATTTTCGCTTTGTATCCTCTTCCTGCTCCAATCTAAAATTTTAATGTACAAAGACATTTACAAGTGCGAAACGATGCTTTGAAGATACTTCCAGAAACTGTCTAAACACTCACTGGGTGAGGTGCACTATGTTCTTACAGGTGGAGCTGTCAGTCAGGTCGCCCGTGTTTATGTCACTGTTGGGCCACAGATACAAGGAGCTGTTGGAGACTCTGAACACAAGAGCATCTGAAGACAGCTTGGTAGTCAGGTCGTTCAACACCTGTCTCAGTGCGTTCTTGATAAACATTTCTAAACGAAAGGCAAACAAAGCAGAAGCATCTCAAACTTTTGACATGAATGCTTTAAACACAAGGCAAAAGCAGAATACAGTGGACATGACTCAGATGCCCTCCCTACTTTCCAGCCACTAGCACAATTCTGGCCTCTCCATCTTTAGATTTCTGAGACCATAGATTTCATCCAGTGGCTTTTGATGTGTCTGTAACAATTTACAATCAATATAGCCTTCTAAAAAGTGATCATTATAAAATTTTCATACCCTGAAGGAGAAACCCTGCCCCTATTTGCAGTCACTCTTCGTGCCCCCTTCACTTTCCATCCTTTTCCTTCTGAATGTCTGTGGCTCTAACATCACTGATGGCATAGTAAGGAATGATTTCACTTATCATCAGGGACTTAGTCATTGTCCTTCCAATCTCACATTCTCCACCTCCAGTTCTGACCACTCTCCCTGACCCAAATACAATGTCCCAGAAGCATCTTGGCTGTAATTTCCCACATTCCTCCCTGGGTACTCTCTATCTCAGTGTTTGGCATCAGCCTCAGCCAGAAGCTAGTAGACATCCTGGGTTTTACCTTATAAAAATCCTGCTGAGTTTCTTCTCCTCCAAATTTCTTCTAACATTCCAATACACTATAGTATTTAAAAGAGGTGGCTACCAGGACATGGGGTAACACACCACACAATTACAACTCTATAATGTGCAGCTATAGGTTAATCTATTTACATTAGGGATATCATACACCCCCCCCCGTGTGTGTGTGTGTGTGTGTGTGTGTGTGTGTGTGTGTGTGTAAAAGACAATTTTTTTCCAAATGGCCTTAAAGGTTGGTAAGAAAAGTTAAATCTTTTAATTTACAGAGGTGCCTTGTGGGCTAGTGAGTTAGAATATAGTATTTAAATTTGAGTTTAGTTTATTTCTCTTATCTCATCCTCAATAAATCTGATAATAAAAGACATTTTGGGAAGACATACCTTTAGGAGGAGCTAGCTGAAAAGCCAGATCAAAGCCTCCTCTTATTCTGAAGAGTATATCCATAGCTTTGGGGGGGGGGTCACCTAGAACAAATGTAACAAATTCCCTTGAGAAGCAGGACAAACTCATCTTCACATAAATTAGAATTTACTTCAGTTTAGGAAATGGCATTAATTCTGCACTTATGTCACAAGCTAACTCCTTAAGCATAACTATACAACAACCCTTGAAAATCCTACAAAATGGTTTTTCAAACTTCAGTTTCATACTGAAATCACCCAGGGAGCTTAAAATTTTGACACCCAGGAGGTATGGACAGAGATTCTAGTTAATTGGCATAAGGCTGTCCTAGGCATAAGGATACATAAAAGCCTCCTCTCTACCATTCATAGTGGTTACTACGTGAAAGAGCAGTTCAGAAGCAAGGCGTCAATGCTGTTAATCACAGTCTTGATGGACTTAGCAATGGTATGAAAACATCAGTTGTAAAAATAAAAATCTAGTTTAAGAATGTGACAAGAGCAGGGTGGTAGAGGCAGGCAGATCTCTGTGAGTTCAAGGCCAGCCAAGTCTACAGAGTGAGTTTCCAGGACAGCCAGGAGTGTTTCACAGAGAAACCTTGCCTTGAAAAACTGGAAAAAAAAAAAAAAAAAAAAAAAAAAAAAAAAAAAAAGAAAGAAAGAAAGAAAGAAAGAAAGAAAGAAAGAAAAGATGTGACAAGAACACTGGGCCTAATAGCCTAATATGCCAGAGATTGTGGCTAAGGCAGTGAGAGGAGACACTGGTAGTCCTCACCATCTTAAAAGGCCCAACCATGATTTCACGTTTAGAAAATACATGGAGATTACAGTATAATGATGTTAATCTAACTGTCAGCATCAGGAACCACACATATCCAGAGAAAGCATATCAGACAGAATTTACATGGCCTGGGTCAATGTTGCCAATGACAGAGAGAAAAAAAGCATCTGCAAAATGGAAAAGTCTAGCAGTTCTTAACTTAGATCATATGCTGAATTTCAGGTAGTAAATGATATAGGACGAAAGAGAATGGTATAGGACAAAAGACCTGTGTCATAGGTGTGTGTGTGTTTTAAAGACAGGGTTTCTCTGTGATGCTCTGGCTGTCCTGGAACTCAGAGATTCACCCTCCTCTGACTCCCAAGTGCTGGGATTAAATGAGTGCTCTATTACCAGCTGGTCCAGTAAGATGTTTGATAAAGAACAATACTACTATTTGAATAAAAAAAGCTGAAGATATAAAAGACAAGCAAGAGTAAATTTTAACTTGGGTACTTACTGTATGATTTTGATTAAGTTAATCACTCATGTCTATTCTCTTCTGTAAATTTGGAAAAAAAGGTACAACTTCCACAGGTTGTTATGAAGATTCCTTAAGAAACCGTATGTGAAAGCCCCAGGGTCTCTTTAGGTTTCTGCATCAAGATTCTCTCTGGGAATGTAACATTTAAGCCGAAATCTGAAGGGCAAGTAGCTATTAAAATTTTCCAAAGGAAAGAAGTGTGTGTGTGTGTGTGTGTACACACGTGCACATGTGTGCGCACTCACAGCCAAAGTGCCCATTCTAGGCAGAGTGACCAATTGCTTAAAATAACATCTAGTAAGGCTGATGTGGTGGTATATCACTATAATCCCAACACCTGGAAGGTGGTGGCAGGAAGAATGGGATTTCAGTCATCCCCGGCTGTACAGCCAGTTCAAGGGCAGCCTGGGTTTTGTGAGGCCCCATCTTAAGAAAAAGACCACTTAGAAAACGAACCCATTGGATGATGGCAAGGACAAAGGTCAAGGACGGTAGGGTAAAAAGGGTGATATTATAGACACTCAGAAGCAGAATCCAAAAGATTTGATTATTGACTTGAGATGAGGCACATTTGTCAAGTGTTTGGAGGGCACAAGAGGGGTGAGCTGGGTTATCTGCAGAGATGTGTTTTCCCAAGGAAGAGTGTGGAGAGACAGGGGGTGGAGATGATGAGTGAGCTCTATGCCTGCTGATTTTGAGTGATCTATTTAGAAGGAAGCGGTTAACTGGATTTATGAATTGGGTTCAGAAGAAAGGAGAGAAAGCTCAGGGTGCAAAGTATATCTGAAGAAGACAAACATCTACAGTTCAGATGGCAGGACCTGACTGAGCTAGGAGACAAGAGCTTAAACAGGGAGATACCTCGTAAGCAAAGGGAGCGGACTATATGAAGGAACTTGCTCCTGTCTTTCCAAAATCAAAAGTTCTTTCTGCATAGCTTCCAAGAACGCCTCACTGTCAAGACGCAATGACTGACCCCAAGGGTCCCGGTGCTGCTGAGGCGCGGGTGCGTGGCAGCTGTGAGACCCAAGAGAGGACACTTCGCATTGTCACGGTTAGCCCCTCGGGGCCGGCTCCTCCCAGAGGACTGGATCCGTTCTCCTAACGGTGGTCCAAGTCCTAGCAGGGAACACGGGAGGGTCACTGACGTTCCGAATTACTTACCAGGTTCACTACCTAGCGCTGACAGCAATGGTGATTTCGCGCAAGCCAAGGTCCCGGAAGTGGCGTCAAGGCCAGCCGAAGTCCAGGCTCCGGCAGACGGACTACAACTCCCAGAAAGACTCGCGTCAACCATCAACCATCATGGAGCATACCACATTGCAACTGCTCCCCAATGGCTAGAGGGCCGTGAAACAGAAGGCTTCACTTTGGAGATTTTGTTGCTTGAGACGTTTGTGTCCTACGGAAGCTCATTAGTCTTCTCATATGTCCTGTGCGGATTCGAATCTTCAGGTGGCCATCCGTAGCGTGTTGAGAATGGTTTTTCCCGTTCTCAGGGCAACGCAGCCCAACAAGCGCCAGCTGCGGCTCACAGCGTGCCGGTCTGCAGCTGTGCTGTCGGTACAAGCGAGCGAGCGCGGGCTCGGGCGCAGGCGCGCAGTCCCCCGAGCTCTAGGAGCTCTGCGGTGCAGTGAACCCCGACTGTAGCTGGGGACCTTTGATCCTCGTGGGATAGGTGCCCTTCTGATAGGTGACTTGGCCTCGAGAATTTGGGTGTTCCTTAGATACCTGCCTACTTCAAGCCTCCTTTTCCCCTTTGAAACAACTCAGTTCAATTATTTTCTTCCTTTTAGCTAACGCCATCCCCCACCCCCTTGACATAGAAATGTATTGCTTAAATTGCAAGGTTGCAGAGGGCGGGGCTATAACGGAAGAACTGTCATACCCAAACTTTCTGAAGGGAACTTGCTATATTCTGCTTGGGTGGAATTCCTCGATTTTCTTGTGTACTTGATTATAAGCCAAGATGTATGCCTTTAAAAGTCTGTTCTCCTACTTCTACCTGATCAGGAGGAGAGGCTTGCAAAGCATTTGTTAAATGTGTGAATGAATGTAAGTTTTATTGATGAATTAAGGTCGGGACAAAGCTGATGGCAAGAGCCTTCCTCCCTGGATGTGCAGGTGCTGGGCTACTCTGGTAAATAAGTAGAGAAGTGGCGGGCTTTGCCATTTATTCTAGGCACTCTGGAGGCTTGGCCAGAGGTCCCCCTTCACTCCCCTGCCCCCATACCAGGAGTTCTGTTCCAGTGTGGGCAGCTTAGTGAAGACCTTTGCCTCAAGAAGGTGGTGAACTGTACCACGGTTCCCAACTGTGGAGCCATCATTCCACTGGGGAAAACAAAGGTTGCCTATACCATGAGATAGATGGCCATAATGAAGCTTGGGAAGACTGTGCTCTAGCGGGGATGGGGTGTGGATGGGGGAATAAAAGGAATGATAAGGAAACCTGACCAACCCGAAAACTTAAAAGAATTAGTTTTAAAATTTAGTAGTCATTATTTTCACTAAGAAAAAAAAATTCCCTGTAGTTTTTAAATAAAGTAGGATTTTGCTGCAAAAGAAGATCTAAGAACCTTTTTGAAGTTACCACCACAAGAAGCAATCATGCCTGGGGAAGGAGGGAAAACCGATATGGAGAGGATCGGCCTCTTCAGTGAGATGGAATACATTACCGTGGGAGATAAATATGTGTCACCATTTAATCGTGAGTATCTTGGGTATTTTCTAATAGTTAAATAGTGTGCACTTCCCATACAAATATTTTGACTTTATTTCAAGAGACTATATTTACATCATAACACACACACACACACACACACACACACACACACACACAGAGAGAGAGAGAGAGAGAGAGAGAGAGAGAGAGAGAGAGAGAGAGAGAGAGAGAGAGCTTCTATTATGTATCTCTGGCTGTCCTAGAACTGGCTGTGTAGATCAGGATGGCCTTGAACTCACAAAGCTTCCTGAGTTTTGGCATAAGGTATGTGCTACCATGCCTGCCAATATTTATTTTTTAATGGTTTATATTTTAGAGCACTGAGTTCCACTGTTGACATTGTGACACTTTGACAACTTGTGACATTGCAGCAGAGTTAAGAAGGACTTAATTTTAGAAGAGTGAAAAGCTCATTTTGTTGGGCTCCTTTACCTTCCTTTGCCTTCATTTATTCTTAAAAAAATTTTAGATTTATTTATTAATTTTTTTAACCAAATACAAATGGATATTTATTTATTTTAATGTGTATGGGTATATTACCCACCCATGGGTTTGTGTACCACATTCATGCATTGTGCCTGAGGAGGCCAGAAGAGGGTACTGGATCTCCTGGAACTGGAGTTACAGATGACTCTTCACTGCCATGTGGGTGCTGGGAAGCAAGTGCTCTTAACCACCAAGTTGTCTCTCTAATCCCAGCCTTCATTCATTCTTCATGCATAATTTCATTTCTTTCCATTGTAAATTTCTTCTAGAATGTTGTACTTTATCTTTTTAAATTTCTATTGGTTTATTTAATGTGTGTGAGTACTTGGCTGCATGTATGTATGTGCACCACATGTACATCTGGTGTTCATGGAAGTCTGAAAGAGATGTCACATTCCCTGGAAACTGCAGTTCTGGGAAGTGAACCCAGGTCCTCTGCAAGATCAGCAAGTGCTCTTAGCCATCTCTCCTGCCCATGCTTAATTTATCTTTTTGTCTTAGGTGGGGCACCATTCTACAGTAATCATTTGAATCCATGAATGGTACCTATTATCATTTTGTCTGAAAAAGAAAATAAAAGCTAACTGCACAGTCAAAAAAGTTCTTTTTGAAGAAAAGCCACAACAAGAAGATCTAAACTAACTGGTTGTGGTGGTCCACTACAGCAATCCTGGTGCTTGGGAGGTGGAGGCAGAAGGATTGGGAGTTTAGGGCCAGCTTGGGCTACAGGACATCTCATCTCAAGAAAGGCAGGCAGATCTCTGAATTGGAGGACAGTCTGGTCTAATGAAGAGTTCCAAGAACACTAGGGCCACCCAGAGAATCCATGTCTCAAAAATTCAAGTTAAAAAGACAAAAGTCCCACCTCTATCCAGATGTTCAAATGTTTTCACGAAAATCTTGTTTAAATTTTGCTGTTGATGTTGCCTTTCATACAGTTTTTAGTGTTTTACAGCTCAAATTCTTAATTGGCTCATCATCTTGAGAATTTTTTTTTCTGTTTTTGGTTTAATGCCCTTTAATTAGTATTGAAGTCAAGATTATAATGTTCTTTATTTGTGAAGGACCCTTTAATGAGGCTGCAAGCAAAAATAGACAGATGCTACCTGGGGGATCGAAGGAAATGTCCAGTCTCCAAGCAGGGTACTTTGACTCCCAGTTTACAAGGATTTTTGAGGGGGAAGGCTATGTGAATCTGAATCAAGTGAGAAGACGGTATATGATGGCAGAATCCAAAAAAAATCTAGGCAAAGCCTTCATCCCTAGTAGTGGAGAGAAAAAGCCGTAAGTATTTTGGGAAAATGTCCTGCCCATCTCATTCTTTCCCTCTGAAATTTGAAGTAGATGTTTTTCTGTGGGATGTGATTTTGAACTATGATTTTCTTTAGTGGAGACAGTTATTTAGGTGGTACAGACTGACTGGCAACTTTAAATAGATCTTTATCATACTAGTTTTTTATTATCCCAGTCACTGTTCTCTATTAGTTTATTTAATAAAAGCCAACTAAATAGTGAAGGTACATTTAAAAATTATTTTGCAAAAGTGATGATGGAAAATGCTTGGGTCACCATGTTTATGCCCTTGTATATTTGTTTCTGTTTATAAAAATTATAAATGCTAATGTGGGATGAAGAGAAATGCTTCTTAGACAAAGAAAATAATTTATCACTGATAGATTATTTTTTTCTGATAGATTATTTTGAAGTAATTGTGATGATACAATCATGGCATTTACCAGTGTTTTGATTATGGCAACTGTCAAAGTGAAAATTCTTTTTTTTCTTCTTTCCATTAATCACAAAATTATATTATATGCTATATTATATTAGATTAGTAAAATTTTAAACATGATTTCCATTCACATGTTATAAGTCTGATAGATGAGGACTGACCAAAGTCTGATTTCATTCTCACTTACTTGAAATTAGTGAAACTTCATTTCTATAGTTCAAACTTCCATCTAACAGGTAATCTTTTATAAATGTAATATTCTGTTAATTCTTTGAAAATTCATACAGTATATGTGTCCTTCTGCCTTTCCATCCTCCATTTATCTACCCCTTCCCCCATCTACCTCATGTCCTCTTTTTCTTTTTATTAACCTGAGGAGTTAAATTTGTGTTGCCCACATACTCCTAGGTGTGGGGCTATCCACTGGTGCTTAGTGGACTCACTAGGGACCACATCTTAAAAGACAACCAGTTCTCTTTCCCCAGAAACCACACTGTGTTGATCAGTTTGATCTTGTGGCTGTCTTGTACAGGCAGCCAAAAATGCTTTGAGTTGAGGAGTGCAGTGGTCCTTCCTGTCCTGTCCAGAAATACTGCTTTGCTCTGATCCTCCCTGACCTCTGACCCTTACAATCCTCCCATACTCTATTCTGAGTTGGTTCCTGAGCCTTGCAGTGAGGGGGTCCTACACATGTCCCATTTGCTGATAAGCACTCTACTGGTGCTTTTTTTTCTGTGCTTTGACCAGTTGTGATTGTCTGAGTTAACCATTGTCCACTGCAGAAAGAAATTCCTCTGTTGGATGTCTGAGAGCTGCATTAACCTATGGGCATAGAGATAGAAATTTGGAGAGTGGCTTATCTATGTACATTTAACAGAATATTAGTCATAGGTTCACCCCTAGGAACGTGAAATTCCCTACCATGGGTTCTTGGCTAGATTTACTGTACCTGGCATGTTTCCTCTTGAGTTGACCTTAAATACAACCAAAAATCAGTTGGTTATCCCAGTAATATTTGTGCCACTATTGTACCTATGGGGATATCTTACCACAGTGGTCATTGTTGTAGTTCATAGCTAAATATGACCTCTGGTGATGTTTTGCCCCCAATAGGCTACATAACACCTTTTGGTACTGAGAGCTGGTCATCAGGAAGGAAGCTTCTTGGTCAGTACCAGCTTAATTTCTCCATGTTCTATGATTCATGTATGTTCATCAATAGGGTCTAAACCATCAAGTTCTGATGGACATCCAAGAACAATGTCAAGAGCTTATATTGTTTGTGGGGCCCTCTGGGGCAGCCCTGACCCAAACGTTGAAGGGAGATATCCCATACTTGAAACTAGGCTTTTTATTTGGCAACTTATGGCTTCTGGGAGGATTACCCCTTATGTAGGGTTACTCCAACTAAATTCTTAGAAATTAAGTTGGTACTGTCCAGGAAGCTTCCTTCCTGATGACCATCTCTGTAAAGGGAGTGTCTGTCCTGCCTAGCCCTGAGGCCATTTAGTCCCAAGTAAAGACACAGAGGCTTGTATTAATTATAAACTATTTGGCTTGGGCTTTTTATTGGCTAGCTCTCTCTTAATTATGAACCCATTTCTATTAATCTAAGTATTTCCACATGGTCTCGGCTTGCTGGAGAATGCCTGGTATCCTATCTTACAGGTAGCTACATGGCATCCCTATGGTGGTTTCTCTCTGCCTTCCTCTTCGTCTGGTAGCCCTGCCTAGCTACTGGCCAATCAACATTTATTCATCAACCAATAAGAGAAACATATATTCCCGGCATATAGAACATCCCCCATCACAGCTCTCAGTAATAAAAGATGCTATGTAACCTGTTGTGGGGCAAAACGTCTTATCCAGCTATGAACTACAAGACTGACCACTGTGGTAAGATATGCCCATGGGTGCAATAGCGACATGACTTGTAGGGGTAACCAACTGATTTCTGGTTGGATTTAAGGCCCACTCCATGGGAGGAAACATATACCTAGTGCAGTCAGTCTAGCCAAGATTTCTGCTTTTTTCAATTCTTTAAAATGTGTTTATAATTTGTGACGAAATATATAACATGAAGTTTGATATTTTAATATCTTCATTTTTAAACCCCAAATGGCATTGAAGAAGTGGATTAGGAAGCTATTATGGAACAGTTGGTGGGCCTGTCCCATTCTTCAGTGCACAGTTACGACCCAGGGACAAATATAAACCACCTGGGAAGAATTTATATACCAACCCAGGGAAAAAAGGAACTGGATATGGGTAAGACATTCTTAGTGCCTTTGTTTGCTTTGCTTTTAGTTTATAAAATCATCTGAGCCCTGTATTCATGGTTAATTACTCATTTTTTAGCTATGCCAATGTTACCATAGGCAAGCAGCTTTCACACTCTTCTGACTTATACGATGCAGCGAAACTGAATTATAAGGTAAAATCATCTGTTTAGAACCTTTCAACCTTTATTTGTTCAACTTTGAGAACTAACTAACTCACAATAGAATGTTCTTTTGTTCTGTCTCTTGATCACTGGGGTATCTGTGTGTTGATCAGAAGTATTCTAGGCCAGCAGTTAGTAAAACAAATACAATGTTCTGATAAAACATGACCACAGTCTAATAAACATAGGATTCTTAAAACATTGCTATGTGGGCTGGAGAGATGGCTCAGTGGTTAACAGCATTGGCTACTCTTTCAGAAGACCCAGGTTTGATTCCCAGCACTCACATAGCAGTTCACAACCACCTGTAACTTTGGTTCCAGGGGATCCAGTATCCACAAAAGTGGTTAATAGACATACATGTATGGGTGTATGTACACCCAAACACATTTTTAAAAACTGCATTATAATAGCATGCATTAGAATCACGTAGGATGAATGTTAACATTTCTGATAAAAAGGCCACAGAGCAGGTTAGTATAATCAGAAGTCTATGATGGTGATTTATAACCTGAATGAATTATCAATTTTTGCTCTATAAATAAAAGGATCTGGAAACAGATATTGGGGTTCAAACTTCAAACTGAAGGTCAGAAAAGCAGAGTAGCCAGGTACTAGCTTTCTCCACTACCTCAGGCTGATCCTGCTGCCTCTCCTCAATGTGGCTGGAGAATCCTGAGACTGAATGTCTTCCTATTCTCAGTGTGGCTGGAGAATGAATGCTTCATACTGACTACTGAAAACTCTGCTCCTGTCTTATATACTTCCCTAATGCTGGGATTAAAGGTATATGATCCTAAGTACTGAGATCATCTTCATGTGAGCTTTTTCTCTTTAGGATTGGATCAATTTTGTTTAAATCTGGGTGGCTTTGGACTCCTGAGTCCTTTGACTAAAGGTGTATACCTGGCTTCCATGGCTTGTAACTGACTTTGCCTTCTGAATCCTCAGACAAGCTTTAATAAATCAAAAATATCACCACAATTCCCCTTTTTTTGTCTAATACAAAAAGAAGAAGGCTACAACTAATCATAAGAAAAATCATGTACAATAAGTACAGTAAGTACATATAATATATACAGGCAATAAATTTGTCAACAATGTCTAGTTATTGCCAACTGTTTAAGATAATAATGAAATGCAGATTGTAATTAGATATCTATTACAATCAAATTTGTAGACATATTAGGTATGTTTTCAAAGTGAAACAGATATATTTTAGATAGATCATCTTCCAACAATTCAGGGATCTACAGAATGTGGCATTTAAAATGTTTTAATGACATAGGGTTTGTTTTTGTTTTGTTTTGTTTTTGTGACAATGAGACATGTTTGTTCCTGGCAGCACCAATATAGTTAAAAGTGGAAGATGCCGGCAATCAGAAACAAAACAAAACAAAAACAAAACAAAAAACAAAAAAGAAAATAACCCCATAAAACAAAAACAGAAAACCAAAACAACAGCAGCAAAAACCAAACCAAAACAAAACAAAACTCACAGGGGGTTTACATTCTTTATGGCAAAGATAAGCCATTGGGAAAGAAAGTGCCCTTGCCTCAATTGCTGACAATGTGCTGTCCAAAATAAACAAACAGGACACAAAAGAGAGTGACTGCAAACCTTGCCAAGACAAGGTGGGACAGCCCTTCAGAAAATCCTGCTCACAGAAAAGTCTGTTAGAGATGCTAGAGACCTATAGGATGAAGATGGGTACACCAACATTGCAGAAGAACCTTTGGGTGACTGTCCATGCAGCAAATGTTTTTGTCATTTGTCACATTTTGTGGGAGTTGCTTGCATGGACCTCCTGTTTTCTTAGTTAATAATATTTCCTTCTTAGGTCTCTGAGGGTGTTGAAGACTAGATAGTTATAGTTATAATTCCTTGTTTACTAGACTATGAAAGGAAATTCACTGAAGATATATAAAGATAAAGATAATTTGATAATGCAAATTAGAATAGAAAGTAAATTAGGTACTAGATTTTGGACTCAGGAAGATAGGATAATGGAGTGTTATCTCTGAATTTGTCAAATGCAAATGGACTAGGCATTTGCATTACATTGTTGAATGGGCTGTCTAGTACAATACTTTAACTAGATTAGAAACATATGTAAATATGTCTTAACAAATTAATATCACATTTGTATCAATATACAATATTTGTATATGATATACAAAAATCTAATCCAATGTAAACTATTTAAAACTAGTAGTTGCTTTTTAAAAATTGATTCAATAATCTACCTTTTTATCTCATATCTATACTTTTTAGAAGTAGATTCAATAATCTACCTTTTTACCTTACCAAGATTCCCAAGAAAACTAAATTTTAAGGAACACTGTCCAAAGGATACATATAATAGTTAAAAGATCAATACCACTGCTGCAGGGTGGAAAGAGGAATGCAGATGGCTAGAAACTCATGAAATTCTCTGGGGAAATAGAGATATACAAAGCAGGAGGAGACTCCAAGAGAGAGGCAGCGTGTGCTTATGTCTTAGGGTTTCTGTTGCTGTGATCATGCTCATTGCTATATGTAGGGAGTAGGGTTTTTCTGCCCGCCGCCAGTCTGGTCCCACCGCGCCAGCCCCAATTAACACACCGAGACTCTGTATTAGATACAGTTCTGTTGGCCAGTTACTTGTTTTTTATCGGCTAGCTCTGTCTTAAGTATTAACCCATTTCTATGTATTTCCACGTGGTCTTACCAGTGAGAGGCGCCTGGTGGTTCTGCCTTCTCCAGACTCTCCATTTTGGCTCCTTATTCCTTCCTCTCTCTTCCTTGTCTCCTAGTCCCACCTATCTTGCTTTCCTATTGGCCAACAGTGCTTTATTCATTAACCAGTATGAGAAACATACATACATAATGGCATCTCCCATCAGCTATATAGGAATATTTCAGTTTCATGAGGTCTTATTTATTAATTGTTGTTCATAGTGACTGTGATGTTGATGTTCAGTTAAGAAAGCCCCTTTCTGTGCCAAGGAATTCAAGTCTATGCCCTACTTTCTCATTTGTGAGACTCTGTGTATCTGGTTTTATTTTGAGGTCCTTGATTCACTTGGAGTTAATTGTGCACAGGGTGATAAATATGCATATATTTGTATTCTTCTACATACAGCCATCCCATTTAACCAGCAACATTTGTTGAAGATGCTATCTTTTCTCCACTGTGTACTTTTGGCTTCTTTGTAAAAAATCAGGTGTCCATAGATGTGTAGACTTATATCTGGATCTTCAGGCAATTCTGTTGATCTTCCATTGATCAATGTGTCTGGTTTTTATGCTACTGGACAATATTATGGAGGAATTTTTTCAACTGAGAGTCCCTCCTTCCAAATTACTCTAGCTTATATCAAGTTGACACAAAACTAGCAACCCAGCCTACCAGGGAATACATGTCTTCTCTAGAACACTTTGATCTCATTTAAATTGTTTCCACTCAGCTTGTTAAAGGATGAAATGTCAAACATGTGTGTAAAACTGAAAAAAATCATTATTTCATCTTTTTAAACTGTATTTCACAACTCTTTTTTACTACTTTATCTAGATCTGACAATTTTTAACAGCTCTTCCACATAGAAAGGATTGCAATGTAAGACTGAATAAAATAACCTTTGCTTTGCTTGAGTAGCTAAAAATACTATGATTTAGTATTTTTTATTCTTAGAACTAAAAATTGATATTTACTAAGGCCAACCAAATACTTTCTCTACATAATCTAATTTATTCTTTAACAGTATCAAGGGGAAATAGTATTCTTAGTTGCACTTGAAGATGTAACACCAAAGGTCAGAAGCTTCCTTTAATTCCTAAAAGCATGCTAAAAAGCAAGAAGTAGCTAGGATTTGACTTGGAGAGCAATCCTTTTCCTTCCTGCTGTCCAGATCTGTAGTAAGGATTTGCTCAGGAATAGACTACTATATCTCATAAGTAAATTCTGTTCAAAATGAGAGTGCTCATTTATTCATAAGTAGGTGTGTCTCCTTTGCATGAATAATTAATGTAAAGATGATTTGAGCCATGCACTGTATCTAACAAGTGTAACTTATGTTGTGTACTTTCAAACGCTTTTATTTACAGAAAGATAATGAAGAACACCACCGGCTACTCAAAGGGTCACCTTTCAAGTTGAACCTTCACCCTAAGGACTATTTTGATAGTAACCCCTATTTTCTAGAGACTCCTTTACCTCCAATTAAAAGAGAAGAAAAGAAGGAAAACCTCTTAAAGCCTTTTAAGCCATCCTCTCCTGGTAAAAAGGTAGAAAGTTTGGAATGAGAAATAATAGAACAGTACAAAGAAATATGACCCCAAGCAGGGCATGGGGGGGTGTCATGCCCTTAATCCTTATTCTGACATGTAGATAGCTGAGGCATGAGGATTTTGAGTTCAAGGCCAGCCTGGGCTGTATAGGAAGACTGGAGGGAATAAGGAAGGGACATGGGGGGCTAGGTGGGAAAGAACCTGTCTTTTGTTGTTAAGTTACTGTAGTGCTCATGCAAATAATCATTCTCTCTTTGTATGAGGTTTTACAAGATCATATAAAGCCACAAAGCAGGCTGGAGAGATAGATGGCTCTGTGGGTAAAGTACCTGCTGTGCAAATTGAAGACCTGAAGTTGGGTCCCCATCATTTGGGAAAGGCTGAGCCTGGCTGCATGATCATGTAACCTTGGTGAGAGGTAGAGGGTAGAGAGAGGAATCTTAGGGGGCTTTCTGGCCAGTCAGCCTGCCTACAAGAAACAGTGAACTTCCAGTTTACTGAGTGAGTCTGTCTCAAGGTAATAAGACAAGAGATTATAGAGAAAGACACCTGATGTTCTCTGGTCTCTGTTTGCACATGTGCACACACCTGCACTTGCATGCATGCATCACCATACACAAGCATAACAAACACACACACACACACACATGCACACACACATGCATACATGCACACAGACATGCACACACATGCATACACACACATGCATACACACACACACATGCATATGCACACACATGCTCACAAACCCTCTGTGATACTTTGTTGGAAAATTAAATGTTTAAAATTTTTGTTATATTAACATATTTATAACTTGGATCTTCTGATCTAGAAATGAGCTGCTTACAAAGTACAGCTTTCTTCTCTACATCACTCAGGCCTACACATTTTGTATTTGTTCCTAGTTACCTTAAGGCTCTACTCAACAGTTCCCCTTTGTATTAGTTGTCTCTATAAAAATATTCAAGTTTTAAAACAAGTGATTCATTAGGTGCCCTTATGTTCTAACAGATATTTCATTAATTCCTTGGGATTTTTAGGTCCATGTTATCTGTAACTTTACTACTTTACAGTATTTCTCATCTTATAACATGGCCATGCCTTATTTTTGTAAGTGCCCCAAATAAGAAATTTCAAGAGCATGTGCTACTTTTTATTATTTTGTTATCAAGTGGCATAACTATTAGAGAATCTCCTTTCCCTGTTTTTGCTTGTTATGAAAGGTAACTAACAATATAGTTTTTAGAATCACTCTTACTTGCTAATGCCATGTTGGTTGTTGAATATAATATACATTTTGCTTGTTAGCATTTTGTTAAGAATTTTTACACCAGTTTTCTAATTATTCATGTGTCTTTCTGTGCATATGTGGTGTGTGTGTTTGTGTATGCCTAAGGAGGCCAATAGAGGGAGCTGAAGTTACAGGCATTTGTAAGCCACTGGACATGGCCACTGAGACCCAAACTTAGGGGGGCCCCCCCCCCCCCCCCCCCCCCCCCCCCCCCCCCCCCCCAGTTTCTTCTCTTTTCATTTTTCTCTTTTCCTCTTCCTCCTCCTCTTCTCCCCTAGGCCCCATTTGTGTGGTGCTGGGAACCAAACCTGTGACTGACCTTGCACATATTGCACAAGGACCACAAAGGAACTGCTTCCCCACCCTTTGTACCCATAACTTAGAATCATTTTTAAATTCCTTGTTCTATTTCATATAGAATGTAGACTGATAGAATGAAGTCAAGTGATTATGGAGGATTCCATCTTTTATGACAATTGAAATAGCATTGGAAGGTGTCTGTTCTTCACAAAGCCTTGTAGAAATTCACAGGGGACTTTGGGGCTTCACTTGCTGCAAGGGAGTTCTTTATTAGCTTTCTTGACACTTTCTTTTTTAAATTTTTAAATTGAATTTAACAAGAAATTTCCATAATGTATTTACAAATATTCATACGGGTGCCTGTTACATTAAAAATGAACATGGCTTACAAAAAAATTACAAATGGCCTATGAATAAAAATCAAAGGAGAGAGAATCAGATTGACAATAACTGTGTGTAGAGTAAGGTCACCTGGATGTCTGGCTTTACTACTGTTTTTAAATTCTTTGCAAACTTCCCTGCAGTTTTCCTAAGGCTTAGTATGCCCCCTTTTTTTTTTTTCTTTCTTTGAGACAGGGTTTCTCTGTGTAGTTTTGGAGCCTTCTTTAACCAATCAAATTCATATTAAATTAGCATAAGTGTCCAATGATGGCATGAGCTTTACACCCTCACAGCCTCTTCTTCCCATTCTCTGTGCCAAGGTTAGATATCACACGAGTTCTATACCCTGGATTTCTCACCACTATCAACATTCCTCCTGTCTTTTACAGTTCTCTGTCACTTTTTGGTCAACATGAATAATTTACCTTGTCTTAAAAATCATTTATTTTACTCATGTTCTAAACTTAGTACTAAAAATTATAAATTATTTTACATTTTTGAAATATGTAAGTACAGATTTCCATTGACTTATTATTTCATTGTTCAAGGCTTCACTGGTTAGTTTTATTACCATATACACTTTTATCTTTTATTCATTTCATGTTTATGTTTTCAAATTTATTTTTACTTGCCTGAGGATCTCTTAGAGCTTTTCAAAATAATATGTGTGTTCCAAATGTGGAAGACTTCGGAAATCATAAGGGTATCTGTCTTAGGGTTTCAGATCATAATTAGTCATCACAGAAGGAAGTCAGGCTGGACTGAAGGCAGGAGCCTAGAAGTGGGACTTTGAATTAAGAATCTGTGTTTCTGGTTATCGGGGGCTGGAGAGCCAGCTGCAACTCACAAGATGCTGCTCTCTCTGTCTCTGTCTCTGTCTCTGTCTCTGTCTCTGTCTTTCTCTCTCTGGATTTTTAAGAGCGTTTCTCTGTGTAACAATCCTGGTTGGCTTTGAACTCACTTTGAAGACCAACCTGTCCTCGAACTCACAGAGATCTGCCTGCCTCTGCCTCCTGAGTGCTGGTATTAAAGGCATGCGCCACCACACCTGGCTGTTGGTCTCTTTTTAAGTAATGCTAATTTCTCAGCTCCAGGTAACAAGCAGTGTCAATTGTTCAGATAAAGCAAAGGTTTCACTTTAGTGGTTCTTGACCCTGTCAGTCTTTAACTGATTCTCAAACTTCCTTCTAGAATCTCACAGTCCAGGTTTTCATGCTCCACATTGCTTCCAAACTCCCTTGGGAGAGCCTACTGATCTCTGAGCACTCAACAGCCTTTCTACCCCAAAGTTCCAAAATTTCTTCCACAGTCCTGCCAAAATGAAATGGTCAGCTTTGTCACAGCAATACCCACAGTCCTGGTACCAGTGTCTTTGTTAACTAAGGTTATTATTTCTGTGATGAAACACCATGACCAAAAGCATCTTGGGAAGAAAAAGGTTTATTTCAGCTTACCAATCCATTGTTGAGGGAGCTCAGGATCCTGGAGGCAGGAACAGAAACCATGGAGATAGTGCGTACTGTTTTGCTCAGTCCACCTAATATACTCCCAAACCACCTGCCCAGGGATGGTAACTCTTACAAAGGTCTGGGCCCTCCCATATCAATTATAGATCAAGAGGATGTCCAACAGGCTTGCCTACAGGCCATTCTTATGGAGGCATTTTCTTGATTAAAATTCCTTCTTCCCAGATGGTCTTACCTTGTGTCAAATTGACATAAAAGCTAGCCAGCACGGCATCTACTTTGTAGAATGCATTTTATCATGACCCATCCAAGAATCCTTGGATATTTATGTTTCTGTTAATAGGACACCCTAGCATTAGTTTTCCTCATAGGATGCTTCCTAAGGGGGCTTGAACATTCTGTGATGAAACAAAAGACTTTGGGTAATTAAAATGTGCATATGTATAGAAAAGGCATATGAAATGCTTCAAACTAGATTAAAATCTATCGTTTCGATTGCATATAATTTTGGCTTAGATGTTATAAGCAAAAGGATTCTTAATTAAATGGATTATAACTTTGCAGAATGAAATGGTTTGCTTGCTTTCTTCTTTTCTTACATTACATTACAAACCCAGGGCTTCACAGTTGGTAGGCAAATGCTCTGCCATTGAGCTGTATTCCTATCTCCTTCATTCCTCCTCCCCTAATCCTTATCTCTCCTCCACCATCTTCTTTGCCTCTTTTCCCCTTTTCCTCCTCATCTCACTTACAAGGTCTAGTTATAAGAAGCTCAGGCAGGCCTTGAAATTGAGATCCTTCATCCTCTGTTGAGATTATACCCATATGACACCACATAGAATTAATTATCTTAATGGCTATATAACATAAAGATAAATATCCTATCAAATCAGTTTAAAAAGTCCAAGTAATTGCTTGTCTATCTCACATGTAGACAGAAAAGTATTTGGATTGTTCTCTTGTACTAGACCCTAAGGATATTCTAGGGTAGATCATGTTTTCCTCTTATCGTCTATGTCTGTCTATGCTATTCCTTTTTTTTTTGGGGGGGTCGGGGGGGGAAGGGTGATCTTCTGCCATCAATGTCTGAAGTTCAGCATCTCATATTAATGCCAAACCCCCTATTCCCTTCCATAAATATATATATCTTGCATTTGTTTAATCCCTTCATTAATAGGCTTACTAAATCACTAGTTGGTGGTTTGATTAAAATTTCAATAAAATATCAATGCTTGGTAACAGTGTAGAGTATTATCTTCTACGAACATTTTTGTTTTTATAAATAATGTTTGGATCCTACAGAAATGGCAGAGGAGAGACCCTTTGCTGGTATTTGAACAGAATAGATAACTTTAAATGTAAAGCTAAGTCTATCAACTAGAAAAGAATATATGAAATCTGTCACAATGTAATCTTGTAGATGCATTTTACAAACACATTGAATTATCTTGTTTTCACTTATAGGCTGGTGGCATGAAGGCAGGGACATTTGAACCTTACCCATCACACTCAGCCGACCCTTACGTGGTCAAAGTGGGAAAGGTGATTCCTGGGAAGGGGGAGAAGGTTTTCCATCCACCAAATGGACCAAAAAGCAGACCCATGGAAAGCATAATGGCATTAAATGTCAAAAGGTAGGCTTGTCTTATATTTAGTTCATAAACCAAGAAAAATTATTTCTCATTTACATACCTTAGGAAATATTTTTTGCTTCAAATTTATTTTGTGTGTATGAGTGGTCTTCCAGCATGTATGTAATTATGTATACTATGTGTGTACCTGGTGCCAAAATAAGCCAAAAGAGTGAATCTGATCCCTTGGAACTGGAGTTAGGTTGTTGTGAGCTGCTATGTGGATGCTAGGAACCGAAGCTGGGTCTTCTGCAAACCCAGCAAGTTTTCTGAAACATTGAGCTACCTCCAGTACCATAATATATAGTTTTTAAAATGGCACATCTGAGTACAGGGGCTGGAGGGATGGCTCAGTGGCTGATCTGGAGAACCTGGGTTTGAGTTTCAGAACCCACACAGTGGCTGGAAACCATCTATAACCCCCATTCCAGACATTTGCTATGGGATTTCATGGTATAAAATATATTATTAGTTTAGCTGTTTAATGCAAATAATCAAAGAATGTAAAGGTGTGTTACCGAAACTAATAATATTAAATGTGCATTTATTTTCTAATTTCAGGGCACTGAATGTCAAGAACTACAAGACTGCCTCGGCAGACACACTGGGAAAGCAGTTAGTTTTTTAGCTCATCTCAGTAACTCACTGGAATACACAATGTTATGGAATGCATGATTCCATAGCATTTAAAGGAAATTTATACATGAGGCTCAACTGTAACAGTCTTCCTGATTTTAATGCTGTTTAATAAATAGTGTTGGCGAGTGACTTAATCTGGGGTTGCTGACCTATATTTTTGAATCTACGTTTCTAGGTATAATGTAATCTTTAAAAATTTGCCACATCTTGAAATCTTTCATTTGAAAAGTTTTACTCCTTAAGGAATTATAGGGTAGGAGGGGAGGGGAAGGGTAGAGCCTGGCGTGGTGTAAAGTATACAACAAATTCTTCACTTGCCCTCTTAGAGATAGATGAAAAGTGCATTGAGAGTTACCTGGGTCTGTTAACATCAAAGACAAATTTCAGATCCACTTATAGGACACAGCGAATGTGCACATACTGTAGTGTAGTGAGACGTGTGCTTTAATGTGATTGCTGTCATGCCTTCTATTTATAACTGTGGCAAAGCCTCGGATTATTTCACCCATGTAAATGCTGGCTTGAGCCGAAGGGTGGTCTATCATCTAGAGCAGGGTAGAAAAGCTCTATTGTTCCTCACTAGCTGCCCCAAATTGTCTCTCTTGTAGCATCCTATTTCAGTCCTAACCTGGAGTTCTGCTTTAAGAGATGCAATTATGATTAGCTGTAGCTCACAAATCACACAGTTAAATGAACAATTGTACTTAGATTTTAATAAAATCTACAAATACAAACCTATCATATCAAAAGAATGCATATATGTATAGGGGTTATTTGGTATTACCTATTAATATGCAATTACAAATTTGTTCCATAACAGTTGGCTGTATGGAACTAGTAAAACCATCTTTGTTTTGAAGACCCATGTTGCCAGTGAATCACATTACATTACATGTATAGGGATTTCCTTAAGACATTCTTCATGAACTATTTCAAAACAAATTTAACAATGGTAAAATGTTCTGCTATTACTCTCTCCCTGTGACAGCCAGGTACATATCTGGCTTAATATAGCTCTGCCACTGAGAAATATAATCAAAAGAGGAGTCTTGACACATCTGTGTGGGGTGATTCACCGCTCTCAGACAGGCAAGTCAGGTAGTTGGACAAGTACTCAGGAAACACCTTTGCTAGGAAATACTTTTCACAATATGTTTTGATATTTAACATTTACCTTTTCAAATGCAAACATCAACTGTAACCCATGTTGAACAAAAGCTATTGATATGAAACCTTACTGTGAGTTATGGTAACATGTTTAAACTCTAGCTCTCAACAACAGGTATGTTTAAAAAGATGAGGAGCATGAAAGAGATGCTATAGCCTCAGAACTCAAGGGAAGGGCAGAGATAGGGTGCTGAAAGATGTAAGAAGTAATATGACAACTAACAGAGTTTTGTTTAGAGCTTGTATTATTTTATCAACTTATAGTAAAAACAAATGCCAAAGCCAGTGACAAGGATTCAGAATATTGAATATGGCAGTGGACATCTGACAAACAGAATGAAAAAAACAGAACACCTAGAAAAAAGGATTCAGAATATTGACTATGGCAATGGAGATTCAGTGGCAATATTGAAGAATATAAAGAAATTTAGATGTTCATAGTATTGGGGTAGAACACACACTTTTAATTTGAGGGCTATACTGTTTTCTTATAATGCTGCTTTCTCATTTTAGTTTTGAAAATGCAAATATACAGCATTCTGTAGTTTCCTGAAAAACAGCTTTGTTGTTTATTTTTGGACACAAATTACACAGATATGATGAAGTTAGAGGCAATTAGGACTGATAACTGATGCCCTATTTCTGGGCAACTTCAGAGTATCTTTTATTATGGTATAGTATGACTTGGGTTGTTTTCTTAGCCACCATCAGTAACTAAGGGATGAGATAAACTTTTCAACCTATTATTACTTAATCTCAGCTACAAAGCATTTAACAACACCATTCAATACTTGAAACAAGATTGGTAGATGTTAACCAGAGTAACCTAGAATTAACTAATCTGACAAAAAAAGAATAGGGACTAGGCTTGAACTCATTGACACAGGAAAGGACTTTCTGAACAGGACCCTGAAATCCAGGCATTAAAAAGATCAGCAATTCATAACTGAGACTCTTATGGAAAAAACAAAACAAAAACCTTCTGTATAGCCAAGGGCTCCATCATTTGAACAAAGAGGCAGCCCACAGAATAGGGAAAAACACTTTATTTCCCTCAGTTCAGGTTTAGAAGACATTACAAAGGAACAATGGGCTGGTACCCTGCTACTGGCACATCAAATGGTTGCCCAAGCATAGCTCAGGCCATTCCTACCAGCGAAAGAAAGACTGATCTCCCCCAACCCCTTAGGAAAGGCATGTCTTGAATCACACTATGTTTTGTGCTTAAGCAAGAGTGAAGTACCAAAGAAACTGTCTTTTCCTGGACACTTTTCCTGCCTGGCATGAAAACAGCCCAGAGTTCAACTTTTGCTTGGAGAAATCTTTACTCCTTTGGATTCGGGCTTGATGGTATCACCACTAGGTGTTACCAGTCACCCAAGCACACCATAGCTTAGGATTATGAATCTTAAAGGCTAGTGAAGGCATCTCCTTTGCCAGATAACTTCAAGTGACCTTCCTCTTGACCACTCTGTGAATGAGACTAGTTCAGGCCTTCCAGCTCACTGACAAAAGGTGACATCCTTTCTCAAAATTAGAGATCAGGATAATACAATTTATTTACTTGTAGACAATCAAATATAAATTGTTAACTAGTGAACACACACACACACACACACACACACACACACACACACACACACACACAGGCAAGGCCTGTTTTGGGTTTTCTTTTTGGTTCGTCTTGTCAAGGACATTAATTAGAAACCTATGGGAGATGGGTAGAAAACAATGATTATTTCACTTAAAAATCTTCAAAGGAAATTTGCTATCAGTACTCTTCAGGAAGAGACATACAACTCCATATTATCTAAAGTTTTTGGTTCAAGTTCTGTATCTATCTTACCAAGGGAGTGTCCAGCCTGAGACTCTCCTGTATGAGGGAACATACAGGAATGTTCACCATTCATTTACTGAATTCCAGGGACAGTTGAGGCACTGAGATACAGCAGGAAATGGGGAATGACATATGTGGTGTTTTGGAGGCCACTATTTTCCTAATACTAAAACCAGACAAAGTCATTGCAAGAAAATATACAAGCCAATGTCCAATTCCAGAAGAAATCCTTAAAGTTGAACCCAGGAATATATAATAATAATAATAATAATAATAATAATAATAATAATAATAGAGCCTCATAGGGTTTATTCCAGGAATGGGAGGTGTTTCAAAAAATAGATGTTTGAAAAAAAAATCCTTGCTTCAATAAATGCATAAAAAGCATTTGATAAAATTCCACACAGAATTGCAAAGCTAAGATAGATGAGATAGTGTGGTCCTGTACAGCAAAGGTAAACTGTAGTTATGCAAGACTGGGTCTCCTTTGAGACTGGACAGGGCTCTTTTCTACAGTGTGGCTCTTTAAAGTTATCTGTGGGGATCTGTTTGGAGGACCAACACAAACATGACGATGCTCTGACAATTGCTTTGAGTAGCAAGCTCTCCTTTCTGACCCAAAGTTTCATTCTCCCACTCGATTGCATGAAACCATGGAAGAGTGACATATAAGCTTAGATTCTGATGCCAGATATTTCACTGTTCTTGACAATCTAATCTAATTCTAGTATCTATTTTAAAGCTAGTTTAGTCACATATAATAAGAATCACTGGTAAAAGTCACTTCAATATTATTGTTGTGGGGGAAATTACTTGGAAAAAAGTTTTTAAAACACTGATTTCTTTTGAAATTTATTTACATATCTTGGATGGAAGCCGTTGATACAGTTTATGTGGAATTCCTGAAAAAGAAAAGGAAAAGTCTTAAAGCTGTGAACGCTACGAATATTTCTAATAAGGATTAAAGAACACCTTTCTCTGCCAAAGATGCTGTGCACGCAGTGTATATAAGTAATATAAGTAGAATATGGATTGTAGCTATAGAACAAAATTCCTACATGATTCCATTATATAACACATCATATAAAAGGTCTTACAAGACTAAATTGTATTCATCTTCATGTTCTCTTATTTCCTTTAAAGAAGATTTATTTTATTTTTTGCTATGCTGGTATGTGTGTGTGTCTGTGTGGTTTTGCAGGTTCCCTGGAGCTAGACTTGTGGGAGGATGGGTGCTGGGAACCAAACTTGGGTCCTTCGAAAGAGCAGTACACACCCTTCTCTGAGCCACCTCTCTAGGCCTCCTTTCTTCTATACTTTGCTTAATGTCAGTAAACTTAAAAGAGTAGTAAGGGTGCTTGTATTTATCTGTCAGAAGGTACACACCTTTCAAATCAGGAACCAAATGCCTACTCCTAGGATTGGAAGCGTCTTCATAGGCATCGTAGTTGTCAAAGTAGAATTTCTCTCTTCTGGAAATATAAGCTGACTTCGATTGACTGTTGTTGTGACTGGAGACTTTGTCACTTAAACTCAGATACCCTCGCTGAAGGTTCCGCATCTCAAATTCCAAGGTATCTCTCTCGTTTTCTATGCTCCGCACATAGTTTTCCAGAAGCACCTTGTCTTCTGTGAGCCGACTGATGCTGTTTTCAAACTTGGTGTTTTCTTGGCTGTGTTTCTTAAGCTCCTCTTTCAGGATCTGGTTATCCATCTTGATCTCCATGACCATTTTGGATAACACCTCACATTCCTTGCTTATCTCCTCCAAGTTGTTTTTGTAAATGCTCGCCTCCGATTTTGCACTTTTGATTTCTTTCCGGAAATTATCTTCCGCGGCCGACTGGTAGGTTTGAATGGCCTCCAGTTCTCTTTCCAACGTCTGCCTGGCAGACGCCGATTCTTGTAACGTTGCCTCGAGATTAAGTTTTTCGGTTTTAGCTGCTTCGAGTATGTTCAGGAGGGATTGCTGCTGGGCTTCCGCCTCTCTCTCCTTTTCTGTTAGCTGTAGCATCTCTAGCTTGCTCGCATTTAGGTCGCTCTCCAGCGAGCCTTTGTCTTTCAGGAGTTGGTACATGTTTTTCTCTAGCATGTCCCTTTCATCTTGTAGCAACAGCATGCTTGTTTTCATCGCCTCTATTTCGATATTCATTCTGTTGTTTTCATTTTTGAGAACGGCCATTTCATTTTGGGACTTGTGGTCCCTACCTTTTAGGTGGTCTACCGTTTCAATCATCTGTTGATTTTCCAAGGAAAGTTGACTGGTTTTTTCCTCTAGCATTTTATGTTGGCCTTGGAGGATGTTATAGGTGCTGACAATCTTCTTCAGTTGCCTGAGGCAGTCATTGTTTTCTTCTGCTGCTTTGGTTAACTTTGACTGGAGAGTGTTCTTTTCTTCAACCAGAGACTTCAGTTGCTTTTCATATGTTTCAATCTTCTGTATCAGGGATTGTGTGGTGAAGATGAGGGGCTTCATTTTGGTTCTAAGGGCCAGGTTTTCATTCTCTAGTTCTGTCACTCTTTTCTGGCTCTGCATGGATTCTTTCAGGTAATTCTGTAGGTAATGAATTTTGGCAACACATTGCTCAGTGACACACGTGGCTTTAGGTGCCTTCTCATTTTCAAATGTTATTGACCCTTGGTGTACTACAAATGGTTGCTGCTCTTTGTCTTTTGTTTCATGTTTCACTGGGTCAAGGATTGACAGAGTGTGCCTTGGGGCTCGGGAGTGGAATTTTAGGTCCATAATGTTCTTGCTGGTGATAGGGATGTCTTTATTTTTCTCATTCCTTTTCCCTCTGCATATTTCACTCTTAGATAATTTTCTACATTTCCTACAAAAACTCACATGCAATTTTGACACCGTTTCCCTGAGTGGGAGTAATTTGCTCACTAAAGCCTCTAATTCAGAAATTCTCTTTGATTTGATGTCTTCACTTAAGTTACCTTCCATGCTTGCTTCCTGAATACAGTTAAGTTTTGAGCTATGAATGGGAAACAGCTCATATTTATCATGACTTTGCGTATTTGCGTCAGCCTGGAAAGTGTGAAGTTCGTTTGTAAGTGCCAGCTCCCTGTCATTTGACTTTTGAAGCTCTTCTTTCATGTGTTTAATGGAATGGCAGATATCGTCCAAGTTTTCATGAAATTCATGCTTCAGAAGAGGCATGGTGATTGTGGATTTATCCAGAGTCACAGGCATAGCTTGAGGTGCTACAGTCTGAGGAAAGGGAGGTGGAAACGGATGAAGACTGAGACTCTTCATGGTGCTAGGTTGGTCTGAAGCACCCACAGCTTTGTTGGGAGGTGAGTTACTTGCCGAAGTTCTCAAGCTCTCCAGAGCTAACATGTCTTCAACCTGTATTTGGACTGGGATATTTATGCTTTGAGAGAGACCGCTGCCATTATTACTACTAAAATTTTTTTCCATTGAGTGAAGAGTTTTAGGGTCCTCAAAATGATGACATTTCTTGATAGAAAGTATTTCTTCTTGCTTCTCATTAGGCTAGCAGCAATAGAAAGCATGCTATAAATACATTGTCATTTGCCACACGGCCAAGAAATTAAGATAAGATTTGGAGAAGATTTATGTGTCCAACTATATTGAGTATTTTATCTACTAATCAAAGAAGTGTGTGTGTGTGTGTGTGTGTGTGTGTGTGTGTGTGTGTGTCCGTGTCCATCTTTCTAGCTGGGCAGGAACAAAATACACTAATGGTCTTGTGATCTGCAACTCACAGAGTGCTTTATAATTGACCTTCCTCCCTTGCAGGGTAAGATATGTGAGCTAACCCTCTTAATTTCAGAGGTAGAAATGTAGTGAATGCATTATGTTTCAAGAGACTATCCTAGGTAGATAGGCCACATGGGAACTCAAGGAAAACAAGTGCTTCTGCTATTGGGCTATTTGTTAGCTTTTGCTTTCACTGCTGGTTTTGAAAGGACCACATGTGTCCTGGAAATGTGATTTCCTAGCTAGCATGGATAACCTTTGGCTACTCTGGTTTAGAGTTTTTCTACAGATTTCAGCTCTGGTTTGTAAGCCTCCTCTGGGTAGTAGGTTACTCAAACTGCCTTGAATTTGCTTTGGAATTTCAGCATCTAGATGCTCCTAAAAGAAATAGTCAAATTCTACAGTACAGAGATAAACACACTTCTTTTAGGTTTTCCAGGACCGGTATTTCCTTATTTTCATCTCTGTACATCCATTGTTCCTATGAAGAAAGACAGAACAGAAAGGTGAAAACAAGCTAGTTGTAGAGAAAACATCTCTAGTTTATCTTTAAAAATTTTAAATAACAGAAGAGAGGAATGATTTCTTTATTTTTGGAAAAACATACCAAATCCTTTTCAGGGTGCATGCTGAATAGTAGATTTTTTTCCGAGTTAAATTGTGGGTTTTCTACTTCAACAATACTTTTGTTCAATATTTCACTGATTTCAGACTGTACCTTTGAAAGATAAATTAAGAGTGTTAGAATTTGAATTCAGATTTGTGAGTTTGTATATGTACATAAACACATATAAAGACACCTTTGCATATCCTGCTCATAAAAATGTTCTTGGCTGTTAAGAGAATAAGTTAGACTTATTTATTGTAATATCTGTCATTAAAAACTTTTATGAAAAGAATGTGGAAATCAGAAGCATTTTTTTAAGCACTAGAATCTTATGAACTATGTTTAGAAATGTTAGGAGCTTTACTTTTTACACTGTGGAGAAAACATGACATCTTTGACATCCATCATCAAGACAGACTGTATTCTGTCATTTGTGGCAGAATTTGGTCTTCTGCTTCATTGCTTTCAGTACAAGGATACTGAGTCATAGTTGATGCCAGGATGAGTATGTGTTATCTTTGGTACATTTGACATGCACACTCTATTCTGTTCACTCTAATTTCTCCAGATAAAGTCTGTGTGCCTTTGATGACGACACCAATTCTGTCTTTAGCTGCATGGCTGGGTTTGTGACTCAGTATTGAGCCCCTCTCTCTAGAGAGTAATGGTCATGGATTGCTTCTGAACCAATCTGTTGCACTCAGAATCAGAGCAAGGGACCTTAGTATAACCTACTATGAGAACAGTGTTCACTCTCCTTCCCCTCTCCCTTCCTTTACTTCTTCCCCTTCCTCCTGATTTGAGTTTAGAAGGACAAAGATTCAGAGTTCCTTTCAACCCTTTGACCAAGATATGGAATCTGACAGCCCTCTATCCTGGAAAGCAGATCAAGGTGTGGTTAAGACTTGTGCCCAGTGACCAGAGTCGTGAACATATGAGTTGTGCCACCAGAAGTGAACTGTTCCTAAGCTCTTTAGTGGCACAAAGTGATAGAGTACATTTGCCCACAGGGTCACTTAGAGTTCTAGTTTAAATTTTAGAGTCCCTATTTTCAAGAGAGAGAGAGAGAGAGAGAGAGAGAGAGAGAGAGAGAGAGAGAGAGAGAGAGGAAGAGTGTGTATGTATGTGTATGTTGTGTGCGAGCGTGCATGTATGTATATATGTAGGTATTTGTAGCACCAGGATCAAAACCCAAGGCTCTGCACATGCTAGGCAAACATTCAACCATTGAGCCACATCTGTCCCAAGTAGTACTTTAAATATGAGTGCCTTCTCTTTTTGTCTCACATCCAAAAAGACAGGAGAACATAATTCACTCCAAATACATTTTGAGCCTGAAATACATTGTCACCTCTGATACATTAAACTCAGCATCTACTTAACAGTTAGCTACTGGTGAGTTTAGAGGGTGGGTTGGTACTTTAAACTAGGAGATTTCCTACATATGGACTGCAACAGTCATACCATGCTAACGTTCTGTAGAGTCTGCATCCGCAGAGCCTGAAATGACTGCAGCTGATGCTGAAGGACCTATAATGAGATTTAACAAAGTGTCAGAAGGGACACTTCCAGGTGGCTGAATATAGTCTTCAATTGCTATGGTTAAAAAATAAATTCCCCCAACAAAAGTATTCCATGAGTCAGCTAACTCATCCTTAGCTGTGTTGCTGACTCTAAGCGGGTGGGTTCATGGACTTTTTGTGAGACTAATGTGGAAGGACCCAGTATTCATTTAGGAAGGATTTTCACATAGTACACAAAACAGACTCACTTTCAGTGCTGACTGTGGTTGGATTTGATTTTCTCGTTCTGTTACACAGCCATGTTCTGAGGACCAAAACAAAGAACATGCATCATTTAATTCCCCAAATTTTGCAGGAGCTGCTATGGAAAGGACTCTCATGATTCAGATAGGGAGACAGAGAGGTAATGAGAAGGCTTGACTGATGCATTTTCTTAGTCACACATTAAATTTAAGGACTACTTTCACTTTAAGAGGCATCTACCTGTCAGGGCAGGGAGATGACTGAGCCAGTAAAGATGCTTTGCTACTCAAACCTCACAGTCTGAGTTTGATTCTGGAACCCAGGTAAACATGTAAGGGGGGGCACTGATTCCACAAACTGTCCTCTGACCTCCACAACTACATCATGGCACGGGTGTGCACCTCCCTGTATAGATGATTATTTAAAGATAAGTGTGTTTGTGTGTGTGTGTGTATTTGGATTAGTGCACATGGGCCATTGTGTGTGTGTGTGTGTGGGGGGGGTCAGAAGTAGGCTTTCAGTAGTCAGTTTTTTCCTACCATGTGGGTCCTGAGGATCAGACTCAGCCAGGTTTGGCAGCAAGCACCTGTACCAACTGAACCTCTTAGCAGCACAAATTCATTCATTTTTTTTTTTTTTGAGACAGGGTCTCTCACTATGTAACCCTGCTTGTCCTGGAACTCACTATATAGTCCAAGCTGGCCTCCAATTAAGAGAGATCCACATATTTCTGTCTTCTGAGTGCTTGGATTAAAGACATTTACAAAAATGACAATGTATTAAAAATATACCATGAACAAGGTTAAGAACTTGAAAACACACATTTCTACTGTATTCTGAGTTGATTTACTTCTTGCCAAGAAAGATGAGAAAATTAGTATATTTCCTTTGACACATACTAATTCTCTACCTTCCCTATTTGCTACTAAGATTACTTCCACAGTGGAGTTTTATGAATTGCATTTCTCTATAGCCATAGTTACCACACAGTTCTCCATTAAGCACAATAGTGTAGTATTTAAGTTATATATAATATATAGTAAATTGTATAATAGTGAAGTGGAACAGTAAATAATAGATTCTTAAGAAAGAACAATGGGATTTATATACATTGCTCCTCTATATATTTTATGTCCATCTCTTCCTCCATTTTTGATTACTGTATAATTGCATAGTTTCTTGTCACACAAATATCTATTTAAATATAACCACTCTGTTTGGAATTGGTATTTTCTTTGACATAATGTAGATGACTTATTTTTAAAACCGTTTTACATATATGGATGTTTTGCCTGCACAGATCTCTGTTCACCACAGGTGGTGTTGATGCTCCAAGTCGTGAGCTACCACGTGGGTTTTGGGACCCACCCATGGGACCTCTGGAAGAGCAGCAAGTGCTATTAATTGCTGGGCAACCTCTCTGGACCCTGGATGATTTCTTATGACATCCTTTTCCAATCCACAGTGATGTAGTCCCTGGAGCTATAGATCCAGGACCAGAGTAGAAATTGGTGCAGGTGGGGAAATTTTTTTTTTTTGAAATATGTTGAAAGCACTTGTTGGGGGCATGATCCCTTTGTTTATACTCTGTGTGTGTGTGTGTGTGTGTGTGTGTGAGAGAGAGAAAGAGAGAGAGAGAGTGAAAGAGAGAGAGAAAGAGAGAGAGAGAATGCTCTTTTAAAGACTTTAAGTTGTCTATCAGAAATGTCAAATACTCCATTGGATATGTCATTATGGCATGAACACTGATGGGCAATGTGGGTGTTGCTGCCATCCTGAATAAAGGCAGTTTTTGGATGGAGCCTAATGAAGCACTGGTAAAAAAAACAGCTTTCAGTGAGGATGTGGTATGAAGATTTGCAACCCCCAAGTAGGGCAACTTTTTTCAACTTTTACTGTGCCATGGAAAGGGGATTATAGTAGGATAGGGTTCACACTTGAAGGCATGTGGCCAACAAGAATTTTAAAAATTGTGTTTACTTAGTGAGTGTTTTTGAGCATGCTACCACAAGCCAAGAAGTGCATGTGAAGGTCAGAGAACAAATTGCAGAAGTTGGTTCTCTCTGCACCCAGGGATTGAACTGAAGCTGGTAAGCATGGCAGCAAACCCATCACCTTAGGGCCATCTCACTAGCCCAAGGGGGTTTATTTTTTAACTTAATATTTTAGCGATTGGAGAGTCTAACATGCTTGTTTGCTGGAAATATATTGCAGAAAGAGGAAGAAAGAGTGGTTCCCAAAAATGAGAGAGGCAGCAACAGAGGGATTCTGGGCATGGGATCTAGGTAAACCTGACATCGATTGAGTAGGAGCAATTATTTCATTGAAACAGGAAAAAGGGAGCTTAGCAAATGAGATAGGAAAGGATGAGGGGATTTTGCTCTGGTTATACCTACCTTTTCATATACGATGAGATCATGCGAGGAGTTGAGTGGGGAGAGAAATGACATAGTTATCTTGGGGAGGGAGCATTTGAAAAAGAGTTTATTCTGGCAATAAAGCAAGTGCTCCAAATAGCCTTAAGCAGCTCAGTTTAACTTCATGGTATAACTCAAAAGTGAGTATTTTCTTCAGCAGCGTTCTGATGATTCAGTCAGGCAGTGAGCATGCAGGAAACTGGACTCATCTGCTTTTGAGAGTATTAACAGAACCTTTTGTTTTTCTTATGAGTCCTTTGGAAAGGTGTTTCTAAAGTTCAATAATGCTTACAGAGTGACATGGTGCTGTATGATTCTTGAATTGGAAGGGAATGACCAGAGACCCATGGGAGTCAGCACAGAAACACATAGCAGCATTCACTAAGTCTTTGCTAAAGGCATGGTCTTGGGAGGCACTGATAGGGAGGGGAGCTCACATGGCTGGCCCCACCCTTGAAGAAACTTTTTATCTATTGAGAAAGTAAGAAATATTACTTATATCTAGCCCATATTTTCTGTTTCATATGTAAGTGTTGAAATAAGAAAAGACTTAATTATCAATGGGGTGACCTTTTCATAATAAAGACAAGGGGAATTTATCTCCAAGCCTGCAGAAAATTATGCCATATTCACTATATGCAAGAAGTGTTAAGTGTGGTTTATAACTAAAGATAGAGGAGAACAAGGTGATTTTTAAAGTACCACATAGAGTGGTTTCCAAATGCAAGCATTAACTTTGCTGAGACAGTGAGTTCTGTAGAAGTCCTGTGAGTTAGAGTGAACTTTGCTGTTGTAGAATATTAGTTTAAAATGTGTTAAATTTGTTTATGCTGTGGAACATTTGTTTAATGATGCAAAGATGTGTTGCCTTCTTTTATGTTACATTTGTTTAACTCTGTGAAGCTGTGTTACTTTGCCTGCCTGAAACACCTGATCAGTATAATAAAGAGCTGAACAGCCAATAGCAAGGCAGGAGAGGGATAGGCAGGGCTGGCAAGCAGAGAGAATAAACAGGAAGAGAAGAGAAAAGGAATGAGAAAAGGAGGCAAGAGGACTCAGGGACCAGCCACCCAGCTACACAGCCAGCCACGAAGTAAGAAGGAAAGAAAGGTATATAGAATAGAAAAAGATAAAGCCCAGAGGCAAAAAGGTAGACAGGATAATTTAAGAAAAGCTGGGTACTTCCCTGATAATGAGACTGATGACTAACTTATCTACCATCATAGAACCCTCATCCAGTAGCTGATGGTAACAGAAGCAGACACCCACAGCTAAACACTGAGCTGAACTGGAATCCAGATACAGCGAGGGAGGAGTGATAAGAAAATGGGGACAAGACCAGACTACAAATACCCACAGAGACAGCTGACCTGAACAAGGAGGAGCTAATGGGCTCTGACTGATAGCTGGGAAACCAGCATTGGACAGACTCAGACCCCCTGAACATGGGTCTCAGTTAGAAGGCCTAGGCAGTCTAAGGGACCTCAGACAGTGGAACCAGGATGTATTCCTGGTGCACAAAAGGACTTTGGGAGCATATTCCCCATGGAGGCAGGAGGGAGGGTCTAGTCCCTATTCCAAATGACTTGACAGATTTTGTTGATCCCTCCTGCAAGGCATCACCCTCCCTGTTGAGTGTGTGTGTGTGTGTGTGGGGGGGGGAGAGGTGGGGAGGATGGGAGGGGTGGGGGTGGGATGGGAGGGTGGTGGTGGGGCATGGAAGGGAAGGAGGGAGAGGGAACTGGGATCGATATATAAAATAAGAAAAAAACTAAAAAACAAACAAAAAATAGAGAATATGGAAAAAAAAGAAAGCTAGAAATAAGCCAAGATAAAGTCAGGCATTTATAAGTTAGAATAAGTCTCTGTGTATTTATTTATTTGGGAGCTGAGTGATGGGCCTCTAAAGAACAAAGAGAAAACAAAAACAAACAAACTATACTTTGTTATGCAAATTAGGATATCAGCTATGGAATCAGGCTGCCTGGACATTGAATTATGGCTTTATAACATATTGTGATGTATACCTCTAAGCATGCCATGGATTTGTAGGGGGCACCCTTAGCATGGCACACAGGATGAAGTAAATACTCAAAAATGCATCCATGATAACAGTTCTAGTCAGGATGGAGGGAGACTGGTCAGAACTTTCCAGAGCTTCCAATTTTGTTCAGAATAGAACCCCAAATCCTTGCCTGAAGTTACTAATTTTCTTCCCTACCATCCCAATAAAACCTTTGTCATATTGAGGCAGCTCCAACCCTTCTGACCTTTGGTGATCTCAGAGCTAAATACTGGGCCAATCTAATGTCCAAATTGTCTGTGATTGTCTTTTGCCTCCTTCCCTCGTCCTTTCCTGGTTGCCCAGGGAAGACTACAGCTCTTCATGGCTGGTGACAGAGGAACACAGAGGGTGCTGGTTCTGTTCTCCTCCATGTTTTTCATCTTGAATCAAGTTGATTTCTGTCAATGGATGTGTGGCCTCTCTGGCTTCTGCTCTCAGGGTCCCTGTCCAGGCATTGTGAAGGTCCTGGGATTGACCAAGGAGCAGAGAGAACCCTTGTTCCAAGCTCAGGCTTCAGATCCATCACTTCTTTCATCCTGTTACTGTGTGCTCTACAACTGGATCCTACCTACCAGTATAAGGTGCCTTACTCATGCCCTCTGGCTTCTTCCTTCCCTTGATGTCCCACAGTACACCAGACTCATGTGAGAGGGGCCTTGCCACCTTGGGCCTCTCTGAAGGAAGTGAGGTTTGGAGACGGTGGCTATTTCAATTCTTAGGTTTTGGTAGAAAACGCAGGCATCTTCTCAATCAGTCTGAAACTGAAACCAAACCAAACCAGACCAAAAAAACCCAAAACCTCATTTTTTTTCCCCACCCAGAGATTTTACCTGTTTCCCTGACTTCACTCTCCTTTACTCCCTCAGAGAAATTCAGGATCTTGGATGCTGAAAGGAGAACGGAGTCAACTTCATCCTCTTCCTCAAGATGCTTTTCTGGAACAGAACCGAGCACAGCTTTTGGCGAGGAGCTGCTGGAAGGTAGCCTGGGAATATGAGGAAGCAAGGCAAGGAGACTCGGGTCGCCCACACCCTCATTGGCCACCGGAGGGCGCGCTGGGGTCAGGTAGAGACACCGACTCTGTAAGTGGGGCTGGAGGCGGTAGCTAGCGGGCAGGCGGGTACTTTCTCAAAGACTGAGCAAGGAATGTGAGGTCTGGGAGATCCACACTCCAGACCCACTTGGGAAATCCCAGAGGCTTGGGGGTGAAGGGGTTATCCTACACTTCCCACAGCCTCCCCCCTTTCTGGATTGCTCTTACCGGGGCTCATTTCTGTTGCCTAATATCTCTCTATCAACTGCCTGCCCCCAACCATTCAGCTCTGAGGCTTCAAGCCTCAGCATCCCGTTGCCTAGTAACGGAGTGGTCAGGAAGCCGCGCCCATCCCCACCCCTTTCTGTGAGCGGATGCGGAGGATGTGATTGGTCTTCATTAATCAAAGTATGCTGATTTTCCTGTGCACTTGACAAACCACTTGTAAAAGGCAGATGTTGCCCTGGGAAGCAGAGCTTGCTAAGCTGACTGATTGGAAAGCTCAATCTTCAGTAAAAATTTTCAATAAGTACATATAACTTACTTTGCAAAATCAACTATTTCAGATAGACATTGCGAATTGAATTTTAAATCACAATGAGTAGAAATTGACAGCCACTATGATATAATATTTTACTACCTAAAAGAAAGCATGATAGTTTAATGTTCACTAGCTGTATTTTCTTGTTTTCTAAAGCAATGGTCTCTATCAGACTTGGCAGTGTTTTTTTGCGGTATTGTGGACAGTTTTAATAGATTTTAATTCTTCAATTTATGTCTCTTAAACTACTACTCTAAAGAAAATGAATAATATAGTTCATCTAGTGTTGTGCTAATATCCATAATATGTTAACAATGAAATATTATGTGACAATTCTAATTTCTGTGCCGTATTTTGGATGGTGATGATAAGTGAAACTACCTGAAGGTTTTCATGTGATAACTAAGTCAAAACAGATGGCATAAAACACAAATGGTAGGTGCTTACAATTTAATCTGTGCACTAGTCTCATCAGAAACCTACTTTTATTTTAAGATAACTTTTCAATTAATTAATCTATCAGAAAAATGCCTTCTCAGTAAGAAAGGTTTGTTTTAATGTTTAAACATTTATTTATTTATTTTCTGTATTTGTATTAGTATATGCACATGTGTGTGTTTGTGTGTGCATGTGAGTATGTGTGCATGTGTGTGTTCATGACTGTGGGAGTCAGAGGTCTATGTCGTATACAGTCTTTTATTGATCACTACCTTATATTTCTGAGACAGAATCTTTCACTGAGCCTGAGAGTCACAGTCTATACTGGCTGGCCAGTGAGCCCCGGGGATCCCCGAAGCACTGGGTCATAGGCATGTGCTGTTTTACCTGTGTTTTTATATGTGTGCTGGGTGTCAAACTCAGGTCCTTGTGATTGTGTGGCAAGCTGTTCACCAACTGAGCTATCTAAAGTGAACTGCCAACTTCACACGCCATCTCTCCTGAACACTTGGGTATGTACCTCATAAGAATGCTGAAAAGAAGTGAGGTGCAGCCATTAATATTCACAAATGAACACTGATGCTTAGCCACTCTGTAGTCCTCAGACCTCACTGAAATTCTAGCAGTAATGCCCTGGGGAGCCACAGGTTCAAGCCCAAGAGCCTGCATTACATTTAATTGTGATGATCTGTTTGTTTAATATAGTTTAGCCCGATGGGTTTGGTTTACTTTGAGCTTCAGCCTTACCATTTTAGATTATTCTAGGCCAATCATTCTGCAAAATGTGTCTGTCTTTTGTGGATGTTTTCCTAGTGGGTGGTTTCAGGTCCAGCACCCTTGTAGGGGTTTCATGGTGGCTGATTGTCCTCATGGCGTTCTATCAGGTGGCAAGCACTGTCACCTACACCATCAGCGTGGCCTTCATTTGATGACTACTAGTCTCTACTGTAAATATACCGAACTGTAGTGAGATATTCACCTTGTCCGTACCTGTGGCGTAGACCACGCCCATTGGGGGGTGGAGACAGGGCTGGACGTGACCTGGGGGAACTAAGGCTGAGGAGGGGGCTCGGAGAGCTCTCTTGCTTGCAGACAGGGACAGGGGTACATCCGGAGGCATCCTTGGGACCAGGAACCTGCTGGTGTTCATCAGTCTATGTTGTAAGTTATTTCTCCCTGAATAAACATCTATTCGGCCTATTTGTTTCTCCTGATCCTTATTAAACATCAACACTGAACCTCTGTACTTTTTGGACTAAGAAATAGTTTGTTAAAACGCTTTTGACTTATGTAATATTCCATTCTTCATAAACCTTTGGCTTGCTAATTTACTTATAATTATCTGTATGAGTGTTTCTTCAGTTATTTAGTAGTTAATAATGGATCTTATTCTGTCACTAATATTACTTGCATTATTCAGTAACAGTTTCTCTATTTAATTAAGCTTCATATCACATAGACAGCAAAGTGTATTTTGTCAGGATAAGGTTTCTCTGGCCCAGTACTTGGACAATTCCTCCAAAAGTCCTATAAAAAGCCTGACTTTTTATTGTGAAGTCTGTTCTTATGGGATAGAATTAAAATCTACATTATCTTTTTTTTATTAAAGCTGAGAGTTACAATACTTCAAAATCTTCGAATTTTCCTTTTAGAAAAATTGACTTTTTCCCACTGACTAACAGCTTCAGGTTCAAGAATTTGGAACAAACTTAAGAGCATTGCACAAAAACAAGCTCGTCAGATCTATTCTTAGCAATTTCTGACCAGATTACATGACATCTGGGGTTTTCAGCTTCATAAGATCTTTTTTTAAACCTGGGATTACAGGGCTATCACTAGGCATAGATTGAATCTACGGTGGTGTGACACTCACCGACTCACCCTGAGGATATACCAATATGACAGTTATTCCTTAGGCTTGTGTTTTGATGGAGAAGGGAATTGTTTACAGAAGTAACGTTTATCACTCAAGGCTTGATCTAGATCAAAACATCTCTATGCCGAGTTCTCATTAAGGTTTTGGCAGTGTTAACTTCAACCAGACTCTGTCTACTGAGAGATGGAATGCCATGATCCACAAAGGATAGGGACCAGCTCTGGCTTGTAGGCAGCTGATTACTGCTTTCCAGAGGCCTTGTTTGGAGACAAGGTAGTGGGACTGGGTGAGTTGAATAGGGTTTGGTATGCTAAACTTACACCATAATTCTGCTTTTGCTGTGGAAATAGATCAACTGTGTACTTCTTTGCTAGGTGAATAATCAAAGAATTAAAGAATGGAGGGCAAGTCCATATCAAGGCCTCTCTCAGCTACAGGGTGGCACCTCTTTATTTCTCAGTAAGATTTGCTTTTTTGTTTGTTTTGTTTTGTTTTGTTTTTGTTTTTGTTTTTGTTTTTTGAGACAGGGTTTCTCTGTGGCTTTGGAAGCTGTTCTGGAACTAGCTCTTGTAGACCAGGCTGGCCTTGAACTCATAGAGATCTGCCTGCCTCTGCCTCCTGAGTGCTGGGATTAAAGGTGTGTACCACCACTGCCCAGCTTCTCAGTAAGCTTTGCTTGCTTGACTTTCTTTAAAAGAAAGAGTGGAGTAATTTTCATCTTAAAATAATATATTTTACATAGTATTTTAAAACATTTTATATTATTATTATTATTATTGTGTGTGTGTGTGTGTGTGTGTGTGTGTGTGTGTGTGTGTGTGTGTGTGTGTGTGTGTGTTAGAGGGAAACTTTGTAGACTTAGTTTTTTCCTTACCTTTTCATGTGTTCTGGGGATTGAACTACGGTCTCCAGGCTTGCATAGCAAAAATATTTACCCACTGAACCATCTTGCTGAGCTTTATTTCATACAACCTTTTTTGGGGGGGAGGGGTAAAGGAAGAGCAGTATCTTAACTCTTTAGCTCTGGCTGGCCTAGAACTATTTATGTAGACTAGAGTGGACTCAGATTAGCAGAGATCCGCCGGCCTCTGCGCGCACATGGGTATACATGTGACACACTGAGTGTGAAGGTCAGAGGGCAAGTTTTAGGAGTTAGTCTCTTCTGTGTGGGCTTTGAGCATCTGACCTCAGGTCATCCGGCTTGGCAACAAGTGCCTTGACCCAATGAGTCATTTCAATTGCCCCTGATTTTATGTTTGATTGTTCATCAAGTAATCAAATAAAAATAGTTGATAATATTCCCCCAATCTAAAAGTAATTATGATAAAGTAGCGTATCTTAAAGGTACATGGTTTCACAAATCACTCACAGGAAGCACTCACAGGAGCTCTGCAAACAGATGGCCACAGTAAAATGACAACCATTTCTTGATTGTCAGTGTTCATTGACATGTCCCTCCCCCCAGTGATTAGAGATCTGCAAGCATGACTGTGAAACAGCCACGTAGGGCAGGTGAGACTTGCTTGCTTGCATTCTTTCTCTTCACCCCTTTCTTCTTTCCTCAATGTCCTTTCTTATTTGAACCACCGTACAGCAGAAATAAAAGAACTTTCCACCATGATGACAGAATAATAGGGTAATAGTTACAAGAAGCAACTTCTCTCAGGGCTAAAATCAGATTGGTTCAAAGGACAACTTGTCAAACATTTGTTTTTAAAAAATATTTCTACTATTATTTATTTGCATATTTATGTGTGTATGTCTGTATATGTTCCTGTGCCCATGGTTAGAGTTATTCCCTGGAGCTGGAGACAAGCAGTTTTGAGCTGTCCCATGTGGGTGCTGGGAACTGAACTTGGGTCTTCTGGAAGAACAAGACACTTAGTCATATTCTGAGCCCCACGGCAAACATTTGTAACTAGAGTTGTTAATAAAAAGGCCCAAGCAACTGCTTACCTCAGGTGTTTTTGGGTTGGGCAACTGAGAAACTTTATCATACGTAGAGATGAGTAAGCTGCTAATGGAGGGCACTAATATGCTTTATGTTCCTATTCTAAACAGGTGTAAAAATATATCGTAACACGGAAATACATGGGTAGTGAGTGACGTTGATTATTTTGACTTTCTAGAGCTTGTAAACCTAAACAAT